ATATGGGTAAAATATAAAAAACCTCCCCAGAGGTTTTATTTTTACAAAAACCTCCCTTATAGTACTGAAAAAAACCTGCAGTTACCTCTCTTTTATTATTGTCTTGGATACAAAATGTTAATGCATTAGCTTTTCAAGAGCATTTATTTTACCCTTATATTTATCAATTCATAAAATAATTTACTAAAATACCCAAAAAGAATTTTTCACTTTTAATTAAAAAATCCCCTAATGAGATTCTAAAAGAATAAAGCAATTTTAATCTATAAAAAGTCTAAAAGGGAAAATCTAACATTTTCAATCACATTTAAAGATGCCCTAATAAATTGTAAGGGTAAATTTTGTAACTCCAAAGTCTCCATTACTGGGACAAAGGAGGAGGTAATTGTAGGTTTTTGTGTAAAGTACAGAGAAATACAATTTACTAAGTTGTGCTTGCATTTTTATACCGAGTATTTTAAGTAGTTAAAAATTTAGGCTTCTCAAATAAGTAGTTAGAGGGTGGGTCAGTTGATATGTTAGCTGGCTCGCTCTATTGAGGCTTACATTTGAGACTGTTTTTGCCATTTATGCTGATTTCTAGGAAATTCATGGCAACCCATTCTACATCAAACAAGAAGAAGAATTAAAGGGCAGCCCATCCCAATTTGAGGGCCCTTACACCTTACCGGAAATATATATTTTTTATAATATGAATGTTTTTGTTTTCATCTGTGGTTTTGTTTCAAAGTTTTCAATTGAAACCGTGAAAATGATGGTTTTTAAAACAAAAACAAATTTGTAATACAGATATTATATGGTTTATGGAACATGATATTAAATAAGCAAATGAAAATATGATCTTTAAACCAAAAATTCAAGAACGCATTTTTTGTTTCAATTTTGAAAACGAAAAAAAAAAACAAAGAAAAAGGCATACAACTAAGCGCATGCTTTGTTTGTTTTTATTCCAACAACCAATTTATTTTCAACCAGATGATTTTGCTTTGTTTTTGAAACTCAAAACAAGAAAAACAATTCACATGTAGGGACGACAATTTCTACCCTACCCCATGGTTACCCACCCCCACCCTCTCCAATGGGGCGTGGCTTTTGCTTGAAGGATGGGTTTTGGGGTGGGGACGGGTTTGAGGATTCTACCACCCATATAGGTATGAGTAGGATACGGTATTAGACTAAACTTGACCCTTCACGGCCCGTATATTGTTGAAAAGTATATAAACTTTATGTTTTAGGTGTTGAATTTTATGGGAAGGATAATTGATAGTTTATGTGTTTTTATGTCTTAATCAAATAATTGGAAATTTTACTGTTTATTTATGTTATTTTACATAGTTATTGGTTATATATGACAAAGAAATAATAGGATATTAGATGCAGGTTATAAACCCACCCGCCCCTACCCTTTAATGCAAGGAGGGTAAGGTCAGAGAGAGTTTTACATTTTCATATACAGGAAGGATTTAATCCGTTTGGATTCTCAAAATCCTACCTTCTACGAGTTTCGGGGCAAGTACAAATTGAGAGGTTTAGAGAGGAGAATAGAGCTTAGAATTTATAAAACCCTCCTCGAATCCGCCCCATTACCATCCCTACACATGGGAGAGGACCCCTTACACATTTATTTGAAAACCAGGATAGAAAGGGGGACAGTTAGATGTATTTGATAGCTGGATGTTCCCCTAGGTCAAGCCATGACAGTAACTGGATAACTGAAAAACAATAAACGAAGAAAAGTTCAGCATATTATCTTTTCAAGCAGTTGAACCATTTCTGATCCAAGAAATTGACATGTTCTTCAAGTTCGTACATGCTTTTCGGTATCTCGCATTGAAGTCCATTTAATTAGTTCAACTGCTGAGAACTACATCTTCCGTGGGTCCTTTTCATTCTTCTACTTTTATATATAAAATAAAACAGAAGAATTGTTGGAATAATATTGGTTAGTGGACAACCTTGAATTGTAGGTATTGATTTCAAATATTTAGGCCCCGTTTGGTTAGTGGGAATAAGGGTCTGAAATCGGAATCGGAATGAGCTCCAACTGTTTGGTTGAATGGAATTGAAATCCCATTTTTATTCTTGTTAGAATGGCATTCTCCCATTTGAGGGAAAGGCTATTCCCTGCCCCTTCTTTAGGAATGAAATCTCACTACTGCTAATTTTAATTCCCATTCTCATTTCTGTCTGAACCACACAGACTATGGGAATGAACCATTCCAATTCCAATTTCCAATTGATTTCAATTCTGATTCCAATTCCGATTCCACTGCAAACCAAATGGACCCTTAGCTTTAAACCTTGGTCTGCACTATTTTCATCCTCATCAGCCTGCATTCTGGATTACAAGGTTTCGTTTGGTTTAATTTTCCTCATCCGCCTGAATTGGACAGGCCTCCCCCAGTGAGTATTGACCCTTTTGTATTTGCATTCTAATGTAAATAATCTAGCTACCTTGTGATGTTAATTTGGGTGTAAATTCTGATTTAATTTTATATCAATTTTTACCTTATTTTGTTTTATTGCAGTAGAAATGAAGTAAAATAAGACCTGAAACAGAATAAAGTAAAACCCAAAACAAAATTAAACCAAAACTTGCACTCTTTTAATTTACATTCCCATGCATTTGTACTTGTGCAAATAAAATTGCTTTACAATCAAATACATGAAAATTTCCTTGCCATTCAAAGACATAAACAAATAAACAGGTTTGAAACCTGTTTTGAAATGCATCTTATATATGTACTAAAGGCTTTGGAAGGAGTACAAATACAAATATATAAAGAACAAATACATACAAAATAATACAAAATACAAGGTTTTGCACTCTATATATTTGTATTTATACTCCTTCCAAATAGAGACAAAAGTCCAAAAAATTGAATAATCACACAAAACATAAACGGGGAGTTTAAGGGGTCAATRGGGCTTTTCATCTTGTCCCTTTTGTTAATTAAGAAGCCAATGAGGATCAGGATCTTTAATCTTTTAATCTGATATATAACCTTTTATTTTCCATTTTTTTCAACCTTTTTTCTTGGGTTTTATGAAATTAATTTTGTTTTCATCAATCAAAAGAAAACCCTACAAGTTATGTTGTTGATAWAACCTATCCATGGAGGCATAAATGCATAATATCTCTTAATGGAGGCTCCAATCCTATATATACATGAGAAAATGTCAAAAACTCAGTGCAAAGGAGAGTGATTTTATCATTTATRGCCAGAAGTTCACTAACTTGCAACAAAAAATTGTGAAAAATCATCATAATCATCTAAGTCTTGTACAATTACATAGGGTTGGCTAATATGAGCTTTTTTTTTGGGCCAAAAGATATATAATAATAATATTACATCATTGCCTAACCTTAAGTTTGTTTCCACTATATATATGAAGACCTATATTTTGAGTTGTCAACAATTTGTCATTTTCATGCTAAGTTAGTTGACCGATTTAATTTAAAAAGAAAAAAAAACAATAAAGCAAGATACTATGTACAGATTAATAAACATGTATACTTTCAACCATGATTGGAAACCAGCTGCAATGATACGATTCCATATTTCCACCACAGTTGCATTTAATAGCACAAGTTCATTATCTGAATGGAGATGTTCTTGATTGTTAATGAAAATGGATTAATTTTGATCCTTAACCAAGATTGCTCCATTTTCTATGATGACAACATGAGAAAAAATGCAATTCCAGAGGATAAAGAATTGATCTAATTTTATGTAGCATCTTAAAGACCCTGTAAGAATATGACATATATGAAGTGATAGGTGACTTGCTGCTTCAAAATGAGAGTACCAGTTGGTTAATTTTCTTATGTTTGGACCAATTTCTAAAGTTCTTAAGCTCTTCAATGTAAGTGAGTATCACATTCATTTCGTTAGAAAGTTTATATGCTTCTGAAATACAGAACTGCCATCTCAAATATTCAAAGCATTTCATGAGCTTAATGAAAATAGGAAGTAATAAAATTAAGGAAAGGTATGTAATGCAAGAGATTTAGAGTCTAAACTTCTAATACGAATACTAAGGAACTTGGAAAATGAAGGTAATTTGCACCCATAAGTGCCCAAAGCATAACAAGTCATCAATGGTTATTGAGACACAAAACAATCTTTCATTGGCAAAGCAGATTAACTCATCCAAATAGCAGTTGATAAAAAAAATGTTCAATGTGGTCTAAAAGGGTGAGTATATGAAAATATGCAACATTGAATACATGTGTGGACAATGAAAGTAATACACTAATACTAAAAGCAATAATACAAATTTAGAAGTCTAGACAGAATCTTCATAAAACAAAGGAGGAGGATAGAAACAGAAAGCCAGCTTTAATGGAGCTAGGTTCATACTTAATACTCAAAATTCTAATGTCCATGTATTTCTCTTGTTCAACAATTGTTGAAGGAAAGAACTGAAAGTTTGGGTTGCTTTTGGATAAACTTCAGGGTTTGTGTTTTTAAATCCCAAAAGCATAAAGCCCCAATTTTAGGCTTGTGTTTTACCAATCAAGAAAAAAAAAAGAAAAAGCCTTGTGGTTTGCAGCCTAAAAGTGTTTTGACTTCACATTGCGGTGCTTTTAAAAGCATCTCTTACCCAATGCTCGATCGAAACAATTTTTTGGTCAATTTGTTTTCCACAGCCCAAAGCTCAAAAGCAAAAAAATCTTATGAAAGCAAAGCCTTGGATTCTTATTTCCTTTTCCTTTTTCATGGTTGTATCTACAGCTTAATATACATGTTTTAATTGCTTCTTGAGGCCTTGTTCAATCTAACAAGTATTGTTGAGTTTCTGCAACTTTTACTGTTTAATTGGTTTATTAGAAGGAAACGAAACAAACCATACAAGATTCCATCTGTTGTTATAGATCTTCTGAATTCCATCACCAAAATGGATGGAAGGAATATCTGCTACTATACAAAGGTGAATCAGAAAAAAAAAAAAAGAATGTCTAATATATATATATATAAACAAAGAGAAACTGATTCTATGCAAAATTGAACCACTAGCTGTGGCTTCCCAACTATCATAGACCTCCAATGATAATAAATAAAAGATGGTACAAAATAATTTCAAAATTGGCAGTGTCATAGTTTGTATACATTGTGATTTGGTCAAAAAGCTAACCCTCGATACAGTTGCAAATCTTGCATCAATATCATTGCCAATGGATCCTGAGTGGAGATATCAGAAGGATGCAAATCTGTCATGGTCGCCGTCCTCACGGGGTTCTCATCAGACAATAGATGATGGTGATGATGATGAATAGGATGACTCTCATAAACTAGCTTCAATGTTTCAGTCCCCAACTCCGTTTGCTTCAAACGAACGCTTTTCTCTTGCTTCTTAGCATTTACCTCCTCCTTCATCGACCGCACCAGTGCTAGCTTGGATTCCAATGCAGCCAAAACCTCCTGTAGTTGAGCGTTAGAAAACCCATCCATTTGATCGTCTATGGCCATCTTCACATCCGAAAGAAAGCCAGAGACATCGAGCTTCCTTCGCTTTCCGCTCCTGTCGTCTTCGTTGAGACCTTTGTACCGATTTATGATGCGCTCGATTTCTTTCGGATCCTCCGGCCATATATGAGGCTCCTCCGAGCCTTCACCTTCGTACGCAATCATTAGAGCATCAACCCCACATAGCGTAGATAACTCGTAGGTTTTCTTCTTCAATCCCTTCGATCTGTTTAGAAAACTTTTGGACACCATTCTCTGATCACGTGCTCAGTCTTCACAAACCCTAGTGTGAAAGATATCAACGTGAACGAATGATTTGTGAGTCGATTATGTCGATGGAAAACTGGAAGAAGTGAGAAGTGAGAAGTGAGAGTGCGCGGGCGAGTGTTGCAGAGTGAGCAAGAGTACCAGAGAATGCGCCATCGAGGCTTTTTAAGAGGCAAAAGCGCGTAATTTCTACACGCACGGAGTTTGGAAGAGATCGGCTTTACACGGTATTATTCGAATCTCCGATTTCGACGAAAACCGACGTAAATCATTCATTCACACAGAAGCTCTTTTCTTGACTTGGATTTTTTGGGTAAATTACAAATACCCATGTACTTGTACTTTGTTTTGCGACAAAGACCCCCTGTATTATGATCGTGAGATAAATACCCCTTCCGTTAATCTTCCGTCCAAAAAAGGCCGTTGTAATCTTTTTTAATCCCCAGACGAAAAAAATATTTTGTTCATCTTCCCCAACCTCACACACACTCTCTCTACCCTAAGCGAATGTTAACTTCCGACTGTCCTTGATGGCTATCAGAACCGAGACCCTTGCATAATTCCATGAATGGTACGAGCATTCCTCCTCGCCTCGAAGATGAAACAAGAGGAGAGTGCTTATTGGCTATCATTAGCCACCATTGGTTTATGGTTTAAAGTAAATTCCGACGCTTAATTTGTTTAGAGAGAACGACGGCAAGACAATATTAGACTGGAAATGGATCATATTATAAGAACCCAGCCGAGAGTGTTGTTACTCAGAGGGGCCACCGCTCGCTCTGTTCTTCAGAGAAATTGGGTCAGGCGTTAGCTATCAGGATTACGGAAGCTTACTAATGGAATCCAACTGCTAGGACCAGGAGCTGATCTTCATATTCAATGTTCAAAATGTTTGAACTACTCAATCCACTTCCCATCTTTCCCCTTCCCGTAGAATATTACCCAGTTGACTAATAGACGAATACAATTATTTTTTGCTTTTTAATGGGTTTTGGGTTGGGGTAGACCCAGTGCCCAGCTGGTAAGTTAATAAGAACCAGTCCCAAACAAGATTGTCTCTGCAATCTTCACTGAATTTGTAGTTTCTGATCTGGGTTCCCCCTAACTCACCGTTTCTTGTAGGCTATGATGATGCTACCTCTCACTCTCCGAGGTTAAAGCGTCTCTGTGGGCAGAAGAGAGCCTTGGGTTTGGAGGAGATGAGCAGAGAATCCCTTCTCATGGAAAACAATAGGTTGAATAGGTTTTAAGAGAAAAAGGGCAAAAAAAAAAAGAAAATAGAAAAAGTTTAGTGGGGTATTTTGGTAATTTAATGTATTCTGTCATCTGATTTAATGATCAAGGGGGGCCTTTGTCTCACGGTCATAATACAGTGGGGGTCAAAGCATAGGGGGTTTTTGTAATTTACCCTTTTTTATAGAAATCGAGAGGGGCTACACAAGACGGTGTAACACCCTGTAAATACAAGCTAAATTCTAAAGATAAATAAATAAAATTGGGGTGCAACACGAGGACTTCCCAGGAGGTCACCCATCCTAGTACTATTCTCGCCCTATAAATAAAATTGGGGTGCAATACGAGGATTTCCCAGGATTTACACACACACGATAGCTCTTGACTTTGCAAGACGAGGGCCTATTTAGGAAACTTTGAGGCAAGGTTTTTAAAACCGACCCAGACAATGAACCGGACAGGGTTTGGTTCCTGGGTCAAACGGTTCGAACGGTCGATCTGTTCTAACAAAAAAATAAAAAATGGTCAAAACCATCAAATGGTTAACCGCCCAGGTCAACAGTTTTTAGCAAAAATCCAATTTTGGGGAAAAACGAAACCGATCACCTAACCCATTCCCAGTTTTTTTGGTCCGGTCCGATTTTTAAAACCATGCTTTGAGGTTATGCTTGATAAGAAAAAAAATCTAAAGAATCAAATTTTGATCATCATCATCATCTATTAGACATTTCCCTAGGCAAGCCATGCACCGCAAGAACTTCTTCAAAGAAAAATAGTTGAACTAATCTTAAGCCCTCTCAAATTAGGGCTACAATTTGAGCTAGGTTAATCTGAACCAAACACAAAAAAGTCAAGTTGGATTTCGTCATGTTGACAATCAAGTTAGGGTTAGAGTTGACTCCAACTTCACTTCAAGTTGGATTAGGGTTGACATCTTAAGCTACCCAACCATCATGTCTATTTATCTTGGTACTTGAGCCTAACCCTAATGGTAAAGTCATTAGTAATTTTTATGCTTTATTATTTCTTACTTCATGATTAATAGATTCTAAATCATTTGAAATTCCATTTTTCATTTTTGTACTAAAAAACCATCAAAACATCAAAGTAGCAAATATAAAAAATACAATTTACGTTTCTTAGTCAAAGATTAAGAGATTTTTACGAGATTCTAAGAAGATAGGAGAGCGTAAGGTTGTTGTTATTGTAAACATGCTCCTATGCTGTAATGGTAGAAGATTTTTGAGCATGTAGATGTTTATGCGATCCGGCCGGTCTTAGTTGTCAATGACCTGGCCTCTGAACGGAGCTACGGGGAACTTGAAACCAAAGGGTGAGAACGCTCCGGGGGAGACCTAGCGTGGAGGCTCTGAAGCTCAAGTTAGAATCCTTCAAAGGCAAAATGAAACCAGATAGCGCAAGGTTTGCATACCTTGCTCTTGGGGGGTCGGGAGCCTTTTATAACCACCTCGCGCACTCACTTCCAAGCTCTG